TTTGACAGGTTTTGGATTTTCAAATTCCAGCTATTGTCACGTTCTGCAAATGTTTCTTTTCTCAGCTTTTTTGGGGAAAAACTGCAGTCAAGCTTGAGCAAAAAATACTTTAGACAAGACAAACAACTAAGATTTATCATTCCACATGACAAAGACCCAGTTTTCAATTTCTTTGATATGGAGAAAAAACTAGTTCCACTTAGATTCCTGCTTTGCAAGGTACAGTCTAGTCTGTCCCTGCTGGGCAAAGGACAAAGGTTAAGGAACTGTTTCTGCCCTTAATCCACCAAGGAGGTATTTCAAACAAAGAACATCAATAGGCACTGCTTTAAAGGAAAAACATAACCTTTGAATTGGGCCCAGAAATCACTTATAGCCCAGTGCCAGTGGCTCATACTTGTCATCCGAGCTACGTAGGAGGGTAAAATCTAATTAGAGCTCAGTTTGAAGTCAGCCTGGGTAAAAAAATCTGTGATACTCTTGTCTCCAATTAACCACCCCAAACCCACAAATGGAGATGTGGGCTACATGGTAGAGGGTCAGTCTTGAGAAGAAAAAACTAAAGGGCATTGCGTAGGTCTTGTGTTCAAGTGTCAGTACTGGTATAAAAAAGATAGATGCAAGTAAGACAGAAAAAGGAAGAAGGAAAAGGAATAAAAGAAGGAAGAAAGGAAAGGAAGGAAGGAAGGAAGAAAGAAAGAAAAAGACAGAAGGAAGGAAAGAAGGAAAGAAAGAAAAGAGAAAGAAAAGAAAGAAACAGGGAGGGATGGAATAAAGGAGAAAGAAAGAAAGAGAGAAAGACAGACAAAAAGAAAGAAAAAGAAAGAGAGAGGAGGGGAGGGAGGAGGGGAGGGAGGGATGCAGGAAGGGAGGAAGGAAAGAAAGAAAGAAAAAGATATCTATTTGACTGTGTCCAACTCCTCCTTCCTACCTGTCTGTGTTCTTCAGCAATTTCCTATCCCAAGGCCCTGGCCTGATTGCTCCCCAGCCATGGTAAGCTCATTCCCATAGATGCAGTCCCTCTCTACATTCTCACTGAGCAGCTCTGTCTGACAGAAAGGCTTCTTGCTGAAAAAACAGAGGCTGCTTTCTAGTAACTTCTCTCAAGGAGTTGTGGTTCCACTCCTTAGAGTCACGCAGCTGAGATCGAAGAGGCTCCTTCTACTAGGCAACTTTTGGAACTTTCATCTTCTCTACTTCAGATTTTAAAAAATCTAATCCCTCTCACCATCTTTCCAGCACTTGTGGTGAATTATGTTCATGAGAAGCACACACAGATGCTCCACATTACAGGGACCTGATGTTAATCACACAGAACTAGAGTGGGCTAAGCCAGACAGAAAACATTCAAGTCTGTTTCGTTCCCAGTTCTTCACTAGGGATCTGACATCTCTCCACCAAGCCAAATGAATTTGAGCTGAAATAATGACTTTACCATTCTTGTTCTTGTTCTTGTTGTTGTTGATGGTGGTAGTATTTGTGTTTGGGAGGGGGGGTGCATGTGGGCATGTGTTTGTGCAGCTCAAAACAAAGAAAAAAATCAGAAATTCTGTTTTGAAGTTTGGTGGCAATTTTCATGGGGTTGGTTTAGCTATCTTTGAAAGAGGAAGGAGAGGAATGTAAAGAACACCAAGTACCTCCCTCATTAGTTAAAATCTAGGAGATTAGGACTTTAATTAGCTGAGCATGGCCTATTTGTTGGTGGGCAGGTGCAAAGACAGGACACATGACAGGATAGCAATTCCTGAAACATGGCCCTAAATAAAGATAAAATACTAGTTACTCTGTACCCCAGCTTCTGCTCTCTATCTTAGGTTATATGGGTTGCCCTGGTAACAGAGAAGCCTGGGATTAGGAAGAGAACTAGAGATGACAGCATAATATTTGGTCAGATCAATCCTTATAAAAGTATCTCTCAGTTAGGCAGGGTCACATTACTGGACTCCCAAAGAGGATGATGAAGGATCATCAGTGGTCTATGTGTTTGCAGAACACCTGAAGTGCTCCACCTTCTGTGGCCTCAAAATCCTGGAGGCCCCATCTGTGTCAAAAAGTTGGCCCAGCATTGCTTCTAGTCCCCTACCTATCCAGGTACTCCTGATTAGGGTATATGTACTTTGATTTTTCAAAGTGGGATTCAAAACTGAGCACAAGACTCCCAAATACAATCTCTCCAGGAAACAGAAAATCTTCCAAGTTTTGAAATCATATTTTGCAATCATGAAGGCAAGAGTGGCTTCATCCTACTGAAATCTGGTCCATTCCCTACCAATGCCTGAACCATCATTCTAAATTCCCTTCTACCAAAGTAGGCTCAGAAAGGCACTCGTGGAAGGTAAAATGCATTGATTTTTCTTTTCAGACTAATGTGAGGTTAAATCCTGACTTTTCCTCAACACAGAGATTTATTATAAATATTTTTTAAATTACTGTATATTATGATGTTTTGACATCTTAAGAAAAACCTTTCTGTCTAGGAAGGGACTGTTCTCAATGTAACTAATTCTTTTTTTTAAATTTAAACTAATTCTTAGACATAACAATTCAGAGCCAGGTTTCCCTGTGGCCCATGTCCCTCAGGAAGTAGTATTCCTCACTCTGCCTAAGTCATCCCAGAGCCAATTGTCAGGCAACTTGGAACCACCCTCTACGTTAGAGCTACCTAGCCAATACTAAACTGGTTCTACGTCTAGTTTTGAGTTTCCTGTAGAAAACTCCAATAGAGAAATGGCCTAAGAACTCCGTTCACGCTTATCTTCTGAGTCCTGACTACTCCATTCTCTGCTTCCTGTTTCCAGGTCTTGTTAATGTAGTAAGTATTTTTCTGAGCCTTCCTTGTTTCCTAGCTCATGGAACATTCTCACACCAAAAGTAGAAAACACAGGCAAACTTGGAAAATTCATTGTTCCTAAAAAGAAACAGGCATTGTAGATGAAGAGACTCAGGGATCGAACTACCAGGACTTCTTCCAACAAATAAACTCTGGGGAGACGCACTCAGAATACAGAAAATACCTCATCAAGCATATAGAATGTACTAAACCTTATTGTAAATCCTTTGTGTCAGGTTATTTAATTCCCACCAGAGAGGCGGAAGGTGGATATCTTTTGCTATTTTACAGTAGAAGATATAAAGGATAGAAAACTTCGTATTGTTTGCAGAAAATAAAGGTTGGCAGACAGATTAGCATAGCAACCTCAGGATAGAGGTCATGATGTAGTCTAGTGGCAAGTCCTGAGGTCAACTTGGGGAATACTCTTGGAAGGGTTTGTGACCCCATTCTGCCCCTGGCTCCATGCTTTGAGCTGTGATCTCCTTTCTATATATATGTTCATACTGTTGAGATGCAATCTACCATGAGGTTCCCTACCGAGTCAAGCTGGTGCCAGGTCCATGACTTAAACATCTAGAGCTATGAGCTAAATAAATCTCTTCTCTTGTAGAGTTAGCTTGCCTCCAATATTTTACCACTGTAACAAAAATTGGGTAAATATACTAGCCACTATTATTATCATGACTATCTCTTAAGAGCATTGTAAGTATGGAACCAAATAATGCATGGAAAATAACTAACATGAATAGAAGTATTAATGAATGGTTATCATCTCTACTTATTTTTATTGTGATATATATATATATGAATATATACTTATACATAACACATAAAATTAACCAATATAGGTGAGCATATTAACTACATTTATGTATTTTTTGCAACCATACCTACCATTCCTTCTCCAGAATATTTTCACCTTCCCAATCTACAATGCTATCTGTTAAAAACAGGAGGCCATTTCCACGGCTACAAAGTCTGATTCTGAATACTGTGGGAATGGCATTTAGATGAATTACACAACATTTGTCTTTGTATGTCTGACTTATCTTACTCAGCATAGTATCTTCAAGGTTTATTCAGGTTGTAGCACCTGCTAGCATTTCGTGGTTCCATGGCTTTCTGTTCTGTTATATATACATCACTGGACACTGGAATGTTTTTATCTGCTGGTTATTGTGAATAATGTTGTTTTGGACAACATGTGTTTCATGACTTGTTCATTTAGAAGTAATTTTCCCACACTTTTTTCTTCTTCAAAAAATACACTTGTACATTTAAGTTATCATATTATCACTCTTATGCTACTGGTCAAAACAAGGATGAGAAGATAATACAAAATTGCCGTGATCAGATGACTTGGCTGGTTAAAGATGTTTATAAAGTGTTTAATAAATTATGTCTGGAAAATTCAAAGGAAATGATATAAGTAGAGATGTGGTATAAGCTGTAAAACACTGAATGAATAAAAGGAAACCACATTCGTTGTTGTCATGTTCTCTCAGTAGCATGGATCTTAGACTTATTCTTTCTCCCTCTGCCTCTCTCCCTCTTTTTTTCTCTTTCTCTTTTAACCACCAATGAATATGACCAACAGCTTGAGGAGTTATTGCAGCTGTAAGTTTGACAAAATCACAAATCACTTTTTTGGTGAGTTTAACAAATATATCAGCCCTTACATTTCCTACTTGTGTAAGTAATAGACATTTTTGGTAAGATTGAGGCCTCTATTTATTCTTTTTGATTATAGCAATTGCAAGGTGTATAGGTTAAACTCAAGACAGTCTGGATACTTTGACCAAGTGTATAGACCTATATTGTCTCCCTGTAGGGCGTATGTCACTAAAGTTGCCAACATACAAAGGAATTTAACTTAAACTGTCACATTACTACTGCTCATCAAAGCTCATCAATCTCTTATTATGTTACTGGGATGTTGTGACACTTTTATCACAATTACACTGCAAGCAATACAGTCAAGTCACACTGTGGTCAAGTCAGTGAAGGGAGGGACAGGCTTTGATGGATGATCACAGTTGATCAAGTTTGTCAGTTGCTTTATGTGTTTTTATGCTTGTTTGATATTCCTGCCCAGACAGAAGCAGCTTTTGAGGGCACATCTATCAATTGATTCAATTTCACAGGGCCATATTATTCTTTCACTTACCCCTGTCTTCTCATCAAAGATTTTGATTCCTCCAAAGGAGATTGTTAAAAAGATTTTCTGTTTGTGTTCTCCTTTGGAACGAGCGCCAGCAACAACACCCTGTTAAAAGGAAAGACATAGTTTGTATTTCAGTGTTTTCATTAGAAAATTCCTTCTGGTCCCAAAAGGCACATCAGGTAACAGGGCTACCAATCGCCCAGTCATTCCCTCTTGACCTTCCATGTGTCTCTATATCATAGGTTCATATCTACCTGATGCTTTGGGATGACCCTTGGCTTAGCTTGCTCAACATTGTATAAGTACATATTGAAATATTCACTCATATGACTAAGAAATATTTATGGGATGCCTAGAATTTTGGTTAGGAGTTGGGGATCTCATGATACAAAACATTATGGACTTCATAGTAATACCTTTGTTGGGTTCTGTGTTAAATACAGATATAAAAGGGAAAAGAATTGATACTAAATTTTATGTGTCTATTTTGCCTAGAAAAACTTTGGTCCTCAGAGTTTTATGCTTATTGACTATAATCTTTATCCAAAGGCAGTTTGCATTTTCTACTACTTCTTCCCAATGCTTTCTACACATTCAAAGAAAGTACCAGGCAAATTCATTCCATTTATTAAAACAGCTATTTCCCCACATTCCCAAACTTTTCATAAGCCTAAATGATAACTTAGGCTTCACAAAAATCAGGGATGTAACTTTGCTTATTGTTCTATCTCTGGTACTTGAGACAGTCACAGTAGAGTAAACAATTTTTAAATGAGTGTTTATTATCCAGAGCCTTCAGTCCCAAAGCTGATAGAATTCAAGCTAAGGGTAGTGAGATGTACCTAAATTAGCCTCTTTGGTGGCAGTCACAAAGCACAGTCTTCCCACTCAGCAAGTAAAGGCATTTCAAGATCACTGCCCAAGGGCCTGACTCATGCATTAGACACTTTGGGTCTCACAGCCTCTCACTACCGTTCATCTAAACATATGTAAAATTAGACCAGACTCAGCAGTTGTGATGGGATTTCAGGAGAAGAATTTTCTAAGATAATATTAGCTTTAGCTTTCTAGAAGGTAATAAGAGATTTCATTACTGTCAGCACAGAATTTTCCTAGGATTGATTTGGGAGAATGACTGGTATAGAAAGCAGTAAGTGAAGTCAGAGGGATAGGGAAGGCACCATCTTGGAGATCATTTGATTGTTCTAAGTTTGGGTATTGAAAATGTTCTGTGGACATACAACATCTGGATGTATTCCTGGTCCACTGTTACCTGGAACAAACAATTTAACTTAGTACCACTTTCACACATGTCAGTATTGCTGCATGGTTGAAAGAATTAAACGAAAATTGGTAAATTATGTACCTAGTACAATGCCTGGTATAGCAGAGTAGAAACAAGAGGATAATAACTTATAGTAATTAGTGAATACCCATTACAGTTAGTGGTCCAGTTCCTGCTTAGATAACTATTAGTGGGAAATTCATTCCCTCCCAGGCCGCCCACTCTTTCTCAAGGCATCTAACTCACAGAAACACAGAATGTTCTAACCAGAGAAAAAACCTGGAAATGAATTGATTCAGTTGCTAATTGAGAATGAAAAAAAAAGCCTCAAAAAGCAGAGACAGCTGGGTACTGGATTACAGGTTGTAATCCTAGCTACTCAGGAGGCTGAGATCTGAGGATCACTGTTCAAAGCCAGCAGGGGCTGGAAAGTCCATTAAACTCTTATCTCCAATAAACCATCAGAAAGCCAGAAGTAGTGCTGTGGCTCTAGCTGTAGAGCATTCCCCTTGAGCTGAAGAGCTCAGGGACAGGTCCCAAGCCTGGAGTTCAGAGTTCAAGCCCATTCAATGTGACTCTGACTTTCTTAGCAATACCCTTACTGAGTAACTATATCTTGTATTGTTTCCCTGACTTAACCTTTCTTCATGAATCTTACTGTCAGTCTATCACAGATCAGTTGTCAATTTTCTGTCTGTACACAATGCCCTGCAAGCTCAGTTATGCCTGAAATTTTGTTTTAGTTCTATGTGTTCAGTGCTACCAATGGAGGCTCCCATAAATCAGTACTCCAAGAGAAGTGACCTGACTTTCCCTCACTTGGGGAGAAACTGAAAGGACAAAGTCAGTTGGGCTTAGGGAACTTGACTTTGAAATCTGTGTTTCTAGCTGGACTGGAGTAACGTATCATTTGCCTCCACTTCTCTATGTTCCAAACCTCAAGTATCCAGACAAAAGACTGTTTAGACAACCTCTTGCTACAATCATGTATCACCTCCAAAGCCAAATGTTTAAACTTAATTCCCAGTGTGACAGAATTTGGAGGTAGAGCCTTTAGCAGGAGAAAAGAAGACAATACCTCCATAGACATCTTATAAAAAGACACATGCCTTTTGTTTATTCTGCCACAAGAGTACAGTGTTGTTAATCTCTTTCACAGAAATTTGCAACAAGGTCCAGCCTGGGGGAGCAGAGAAACTGGATCACCTCCAGACGATGAACCTAGTGGCATGTTGGTCTTAGACTTTCCAGCCTTCAAAACTATGAGAAAATACACAAATGATCCAGGAGAGCCCCTCACATAGGAAAAACTTGGAGGACAAGCGAAAGGACAGGGAGGTTTCCCTCCCTCTTTGTTCTTCTGAGGACTGGGAACAGGGAAGAACGCACCCTGGATGGAAAAATAGCTATAATAACTTCATTGCCAAAAAGTCTTCCAAGTACCAGGCTCAAAAACAATCTGGAATAGCAATGACCCTGGGGACATACTGCTGCTGACTAGATTCTAAGGCTTTGTTCCAAGGAACTCTCAAACAATACCATGGTGGATATACATATATATATATATATATATATATATATATATATATATGTATGTATGTATATACACACACACCCATAGTGGAATATAGTATAGTTATCCATATATATATACACATATATACATATACACATAAATGTATATCTATATGTAAGAGAAGAGAGAAGAGCCAGTAAGTGTGTTCCTAGAGCATTTGCGCTTAAGAATGCTGGTGCTGGTGTTGGCTTCGCATGACAAATGGACATAAGGACTGTGCATAAGATGCTGTGTTTGGAGAAATAGAATGTCCACTCTGTATATCACCTTTATAATGGCAACAAAACAATAATAACAAAAAATTTTAAAAGAAAACTAACCTTAATCCTAACATTAAAAAATCCAATTTTATTAAACTATCTTTCTCTTATGAGATGGGATTGTGTGTCAAACTGTAAAATTTATGCTCTGTCCAGGCAAGCTGGCCATTGTGGCATGTCTCAGGATCTTTTAACTTCGGGATTACTCACTACCATAAGGAGCCAGCAAAGGCGTCAAATACAACTGTGATTAGGGCCTTTGATTATCTGCCTGCTTGTGCTACTTGGGGCTGGTACCAGCTAAGCACCTACTTAGCTACCTGAATTCATCACTGTTAGAAACCTGGAAATTAACCATGTTCTTGGGTGTCTTCTGTATGCTAATTATAAACAGGAGATAAATATCTGCTTCATAAGATTCAAGGACATAGTATCTGTGAATGCGTTTGTTGTTTATAAATTAAAATACATTGACTAAAATTAAAATACATTTTTGCTGGCACACAGGCCAGTGACCACTCATATTCACAATACAAATCCCCTGTAAGACCTCTGTAATCCCAGAGAAAATTCTCTAATGAAAAATGCTCCAGCTTCAGAAACTAGTAAAAGAGAAAGGGATTTTTTTAAAATTTCATTTCTCATATGGCTTACAATGAGCAAGTGGGTCTTTTCTGAACACTAAGAGGCATTTTGTACTTCTCTGTCTCTTCTTTGCCTGGGCAGGTGGCCAAATGGAGAATCGATCATTTGTGTTTGTGTTTCCTAAAGAAAAACCACTGGAAGCCAAAATGTCAACGTTCTTCTCAACACCTTGTGAATAATGAAACACCATTTTCAAGGAACCAAGAATGCTTCTACAAGTTGACTGTATCTGACAGGAGTGTTACGGCAGGACAAACTCTTAGGGTTTCAGGGACCTCCTGGTTGTGGAGCATTTCACCATAGTCAACACACATACATGTACACATATGCATGCATGCACACAAGAATAACACACACAGAGGCACACACAGAATGTTGGTAATCATGGTTGGACCTTTTCCAGCTAGGGTGGCCCAATGTTAATCCTGTGGGAGAAATTTTCAGAAGTAAAGCAAATCCCTATTTCATATCCACTATGTCCTTCATGATTCCATGAAGGCACAAGGCCAGTATTGCTCTACAACAGGTTCCTGTTGAAAGGATGTCTTTTGGATACTGGAGACAAAAAAAAAAATGCTTGACTTCTTCTCTCCTCCTCAGAAGACTGGTGTACTTGGTGAGAATTAAGTCTATGTATATGGGGGGTGGGGAGCACTGCTAAGTAATAACATCTTGATGCCATCTTTTTTTTTTTTTTTGTCGGTCGTGGGACTTGAACTCTGGGCCTGGGCTCTTCAGCTCAAGGCGAGAGCTCTACCACTTGAGCTACAGCACCACTTCCGGTTTTCTGGTGGTTTATTGGAGATAGGAGTCTCACAGTCTCTTCTGCCCGGGCTGGCTTTGAACCGCGATCCTCAGATCTCAGCCTCCTGAGTAGCTAGGATTATAGGCGTGAGCCACCAGCGCCCAGCTTGATGCCATCTTTTAAATCCATTTATTTGCCTGGCATTGAATTCAGTAAGGAGGTGGCTTCATGAATAATCAAGACCCAGGTCTTTATCCTCATTATGACTATAATTTTGTTGGAGTGGAAGGAAAGCTCTAGCAGACTTTGGAGTCTGAAGAAGTCTGAAGAATATGAGGCTCAAGCTCTAAAATCTGATTTTCAGCACATGTCCTACATTCAACTCTGAGGTTGGGTAGGGGTTGGGATAAACCAAGCAGAATGATCTTTCTTATTTAAAGGCTCCCACTGTATCCAGGTCACCTTCTTGGTGATGGTCAGCATGTACCAGGTCCAAAGGTAGTCTTTAGATTTCTTCCTGTACAATACTTTCTCCTGTTTGTCATTCATGTTTTAGTTTAGAAAAAAATGAGGGCTTCATTATTGATCATTCTCAATTATGAAAAACATACATTAAATTCTGAAATGATATTTTGTGAAATTATGGTTTTGATTCCTTTATACCTTTAGTATACTTATACTAGAAGTTAAACTATTAAAGATTGTTATATAACATCTTAAGAAAAGAGAGGCAGGTAATTGTAACCGCTCTGTATGGTATTTTCACAATAGAAAAAAGAAAAGAGAGGCAGTTCTTGACTGGTGGCATATGTCTATAGTCTTGGCTATAGGGGAGGCAGTAGCAAGAGACTGAAGAGAGAATTTGTGGCCAGCCTAGGAAAAGTTAGAGAAGACCCTATATCCAAGACTGAATACATGGCTCTAGAGGGTATGGTTGAAGTTGTAGAATTCTTGCCTAGTAATCTATGTTCTGAATTCAATCTCCAATAACCCAATCAATCAATCAATCACCAATGTCTATGAAAGAAAAGGCGATGTAGGGCTGGGAAGGCAGTTCAGTGGCAGAGTGCTTGCCTTGCATGCATGAGGACCTGGGTTTGATTCTTCAGCACCACATAAACAGAAAAATATAGAAGTGGCACTGTGGCTTAAGTGGTAGAGTGCTAGCCTGAAACTGAAGAGCTGAGGGACAGTGCTCAGACTGAGTTCAGGCCCTATGAATGACAAAAAGAAGAAGAAAAGAAGAAGAAGAAGAAGAAGAAGAAGAAGAAGAAGAAGAAGAAGAAGAAGAAGAAGAGGAAGAAGAAGAGGAAGAAGAAGAAGAAAGAAGAGGAAAAGAAGGAGGAAGAGGAGGAGGAGGAGGAAGAGGAGGAGGAGGAGGAAGAGGAGGAGAAGGAAGAGGAGGAGGAGGAGGAGGAGGCTGGGAAGGTTGCTCAGTGGTAGAGCGCTTGCCTTGCATACATGAGGCCCTGGGTTCAATTCCTCAGCACCACATAAGCAAAAAGAAAAAAGCCAGAAGTGGCGCTGTGGCTCGAGTGGTAGAGCACTAGCCTTGAGCTGAAGAGCTGAGGGACAGTGCCCAGGCCCAGAGTTCAGGCCCCACAACCGGACCCAAAAGAAGAAGAAGCAGAAGCAGAAGCAGAGGCAGAAGAAGACGATGAAGAAAAGGTGATTTAGTGGGTGTTTTACCAATATTTTTAGGTATTTATTGTATTTTTTCCACATTCCTCCAACCTGTTCCTAGGGCTTGAACAGAGGGCCTGAGCCTTAGTCTTGTGCTCAAGGCTAGCTTCAAATGACAGGTCCACTTCTAACTTTGGGGTAGTTAATTGGAAATAAACACATATCTTGAAATTTCCTAGCAACCTGGTCTTGAATTGTGTTCTTCAGATCTCATCCTCCTGAGTAGCTAGAATTGTAAGTGTAAGCCACTTCTTTTGCTCTAATCCTTAAAATATATCCTCATGGACTACTGCAATGTATGTAAAAATGCTCATATATATTATTAGGGGAGGAAAAAGATATGTGATATACTAAGACTATAAATTATACACAAAATGTTAATATTTATTTATGGGATTTGGAATTAGTTCTATTTTCTTCCTTACCATTTTGAATATCTTCAAAATATTTTATAATTAACATATGAACTTTATAATCTCAAAAATAAATTGTATGTCTTAAATGCAGAAAATGTAAAATATAAGCAGAAATATATAAATATACACCAAATTCTTAGTATGTTTAATAAAACAATTTACTTGTTTTCCAAATCTAAAATAAATTTTAAAAATCCGATTTTTAATTTCATCCTCAGATTTCTTAATGAAAACACTCTAATATCTTTAAAATCAGCAATCTCTTTCTGTTAACTTCTAATTATTTAGTTCTCATTACTTTAAAGATATCATTTTTCTTTTATTATGAACTGTTTGGAGTCAAATAATAGGAATTATAAGAAAAGGTCACTTTGCACCTTAATATTTACTGCATGGAAAAAAATGTAAAATTCATAAAAAATGGTAACTTTGTACTTTTACTTTTCTAAGAGTCTTATGATGAAAATAAAATTGAATATGATACAAAATGCACAAGAAAGATAAACATGGCCTATGGCAGAGAGGTAATTCAACTAACACAGGCCAGCTAAGTCATCTTCTTCCCAATAAATAAATACAGCGTTTCATCAATGAACCTAGCAATTAACTAACAGTGGTATAAAGTTATCTGTAGTAATAATTGCAATCATGTCTCTCTCATTCATATAAAGCCTGAAAAACTCACAATGAAATGCTTGCACAGTACCTTGAGTTTCATCATGGAATCTTGACATAACTTGTCTCCCCGAGCTGCGGAAACTTCATCAATCCCGATCAGTTTAGCTTTGTACCGGACCCCTTCACCTTTAAATCTCTTGATCAAAGTGGCTTCACTGCGATCCTGACCTAGAAACAGTAAAAAGTAGATTCAAGTACAAAGTTATGGAAGGCTCAATGTTTGTAATTAGCTAACTCTCCAAAGGCCAATCTGTTTTTGTTTGTTTGTTTTAATTTTTAGGGAAGTCAAATCTCTGGTACCAAGAGAAAAAAAATTAAAATTTCTAAATGTACACTCTTGCTCCAAACATTTAAATTCTGATGAAAATTACTTCTCTTGCTTGAGCTTCATTTAGGCCGAAAAGTCTTTAAAAATAGTATATGAAGATGAAAGGAGAGTATTAGGACCAGGTTATATGATGAAAGAAGAAAACAGAGGCCAAACACAGCCAAAATATTCAGTATATAAGTGTGGAAAAGGGAGTGGGAGGTATGAAATGGGTCTGAAAAGAGGAAACAGATGCAGCAGGGGGGAACGATGGAAGGAGTGGCTCTGATCAAGAAATAGTAGATGCTGGGCTGGGAGGTGGCTCAGTGGTAGAGCGCTTGCCTTGCATGCTCGAGGCCCTGGGTTCGATTCCTCAGCACCACATAAGCAAAAAGAAAAAACGCTGGAAGTGGGGCTGTGGCTCAAGTGGTAGAGCGCTAGCCTTGAGCTGAAGAGCTGAGGGACAGCGCCCAGGCCCAGAGTTCAGGCCCCACAACCAGACCCCCCCCAAAAAAAAGAAATAGTAGAAGCTTGGACGGACATGTTAAATTACAGCTTCTTTGTACAACTTTTAGAAGTTCAGAAAATAATACATCAGATAATATATGTAAGTCATCAAAGTCAGCATTCGGTACATAGTTTTCAATGATAAACAAGAGTCCATGTTCAAGAGTCTTGTTAGAATCAGCACTGAGTTTCCAGTATTTCCAACTTCTAATAATGTTTTGGCCAAAGTCCAAGACCATCTTTATATCCAATTCCACGGGTTGTTTTATAGTCAAACTTCATAGTAATTGCTTTGTATCCAGTAATAACCCAAGACAATTAGTAAAAACATGATTTTATGACATCTCTTTTGCTTACTCATGTGTGTAGGAAAATAGGCCTCCATGCTACTTGGTGCTGAGTGTCCATACCCTGCAACCAGTTCTCTTGATAATTATTAACATAATATTATGCTAAGTCAACCAGAGATCAAATATGCCCATATAATGTAAGGACTGTAAAGTTACTGTGAGCAAGTGCTTCATAAAAGATATTTGGTAATTTTTATATCTACTCTTCAAAACAACTAAGCCATTTCCATCCAGATAATGAAGATAATCACATGATTCAGATAGCTTGTTCAAGTTCACAGAGCCCTAAATAACAGGAAAACATAGCAATTCAAACTGCTCTAACCTCGTCATACCTTGACTAGTCAGGGATCTGAGAATTACACGCAAGCTTCCTAAAGCCTAGAACACTCCAATCCTCTAACGTTCATTTCCCAGAGAACCACTGAAATCTCCTTCTTCTATTGTGTCTCAATGTGGACATAAACTTATACTAAGGACAGTAAAAATGATGTAGCCCACTCCCCTCCATTTATGTGATGTGTAAACTAAAGTCTTTCTATAATATGGGTTTGAGAATTACCTGAGGACCTGCTTAAATGAGATGAAATGACATCAATAGCTAACCATAGTATAGTGTTTTATCTACTGATGAAATGGTTTCCATTCATTCATTTATTTCATTCCATTCATTAATTCATTCATTCACTCATCTCTTACTGTTTACTCTGTGCCAAATGCTATTTGTAACTCCCTGACAACAGGAGAGGGAGACAAAAATCTGTGCCTCTAGAAACTCATTTTTGGTGATTGCAAATAAACACATACACTACACATAATAGTAGGTGTATAAAAAGACTGCCTTCATAAATCCCAGCCTTAGTTCATTACAAAGGAACTAAAACCTCACAGAATTCATATGAAGTCTCTTCAATGAGATAATGTGTGTAAAAGCATACATTCATTCTCAGGGTAAACTTCCTGTAAAGGGTAAGTGAGGCCATTACAATCATTCCTGTAAAAGATGCATATAGAAGATAGCTTGCTGGGGAGACGGAGGCATAGAAGAGAACTGTTCACAGGATCAGGCCTGGATCTGTAGTCTACAACTTGCAGAGGACATCTTTTGTGCTGCATCTTGTCATTCCTAGCCTATCAACATCTTTGACTAATACTACGTTAAGAAAATAGAGAGCAGGAATGGTTAGTCAGAGACATTAGTGAGTGTAAACATTGCAACATTGGCGTTCTATGAAGGCAGATATCAGAGATTAGAGATGGGGCTTTTTGCCATGATCTACTTTTTATTGTCATCTAGCTAAGGAACAAGGCTTATGGTACCATAGTCTCCTTTCCTTGCCTTAGTATACAAAGTTTGGTAAGGGCCACCTACAGATTGGTTTAAGATTTCTTGGGAAGGTTATCTTATTCTATCTCAACTATCATCTGTACTTCATCAACACATGACATTATTTTAGTAACTAATAACACTCCTTTCAGCACTGGGAACTGTCACAGAAATACCAAGCAGCATTTGTCAGAGAATGCATCACAGGCACAAACAAACATATTTGGCCCTGGAAAAATCCCAGAGATAGCTATTATAATTCAGGTTTGAAATTGAAGAACTAAGAGGCCATGAAACTTGTCAAAACTCGCTTAACAGGACCTGACCCAGTTTTATCCAATTCCAAACCCTTACTTAGGATTTGTTTGGGTTTCATGCTTCAAGACTCTTCTTTTCAATACCATGATGGATTGCTTCTCATGTATATACAACTTCCATATAAAGCCTTGTATCAAAACTCACCTGGCTCAAATATGGTCACATTGGTTATATTGGAAACATACAAACTTCATTCAGTGGCAGATGGACAGATTGTTTGAAATACAATATACATCTTCCAGCAGTTACATTAAAAAATTCTCCCAAATCAGATATGCATAGTACCTGAGAAACATGTCAGAGCATAGAACTCTGCTGAGGAAAGAGATTCCTAAGAAAAAGCTGAGCCAGAGCAGGTGAACAAGGGCAGAGATTAATAAGAAAATATTAGGCCATTTAGAGGAAAGTAGAAGCACAATTTAGATTAAGGCCTAGGGCCAAGCTCATTTGTATGAAGGGCACTTATGCAGTAGATAATCCAGTTTCTCATTAAATGTTCGACCATTAAAAGGGTGATTTTTCATGAGCACATCTTGATCAAGGTCTCAGTTATATTAGTTAAGAAATAAATAACAGATAGCAGAGTCATAAGTCTGTAATTCCACCAGACACATACAAATTTGAGAGTATTAAGGAGGTCAGATCAGACTTTATGCATCCTAACTTATTTCCAACTTATTTTGAACTTATTTATGTAACTTAGTTCCAACTTACTTTACCTATATGAAAACACTGACTCTGTGTTTCAAGATAGTGTTTAGGGAAAATTATCATCATGATCATGCTCCACTATAAAGTATTTATGGTATCAGTTACTATGCCAAGAGTTTCATATCAGGTGACCCACTTGCTCTTTAATGAACATTATTTTATAGAAAATAATACCAGTGCCCAAAGTCAGCACCAAAGCCTGATTTTTTTTTGCTAATTCTTGTGCCTGAACTCAGGGTCTGGGCACTGACCCTTAGCTTCTTTGTACTCAAGAGTAATGCTTTACCACTTGAGCCACAGGGCCACTTGTGGCTGTTTCTGAGTAGTTTATTTGAGTTATGAGTCTCATGGCTTTCCTCTTCAGGCTGGCTTTGAACTGAGATCCTCAAATCTCAGCCTCCTGAGTAGATAGGATTACAGGCATGAGCCACTAGCACCGCCACAGCTTGAATTTTTGATGACATCTTTATTGAGATAGAATCATGATCCATACATTTGCCCTTTTACAGTGTACAAGTCCATGGTGTTAGTATATTTTCAGAATTGTATAGCTATCACTGCTATTTGATTTCAGAATATTATCATTATCCCAAAACATGTGTATACCTGTTAGCTGCTATGCCCCAGGTCCTCATTACCTCCAGTACAAAGCAGCCACAGATATCTTTCAGTCTCTATAGATCTTATTCTAGATATTTTATATCAATGAGATCATATATCAATGAGATCTTCTGCATCCAGTCTGTTTTACTTGGCAGCTTGTTTTCAAGTTTAGCACGCATCTATCTGTACCTCTTTCCCTTTAGTATTTCCTGTTTCTCTTCAGCTCCTCCTTTCTTTCTTTCTCTTCATTATTATCCCATAATGTGTTTATAGCACAGAAGTTGGTGAGTATTTTATGTGTTTTCTGTTTGTTTGCTATAATAAATAATGTTGCCATAAATATTTTTGTGTATAAGGTTTTGAATAGAAATGTATTTTCAAATCTCTTAGGATTAAATACCTAGAGGAGGAATTTCTAGGTCATAGGGTAACTCTATTGAGAAATGTTCAAACCATTTTTCAAAATGTACCATTATATCAACTCACTAGTCAAGTAAAAGGGATTCCAGCTTCTCTGCCAGATGTTCTTGCCAGCATCTGTCACTGTCGGTGTGCCTTTGACACTTACCCATTCTAATGGGTGTTAAGTAGTATCTCAATGCATTTGGTAGGGAGAGAACTAGGAAATACTATCAAAATGTAGATATATAGGTAAAATTGTAAAAGCAAGTATCTCCTAGGTAAGGAAGCCATGAAAAGGAAGAGAAGCCCAGAGGAAGAAAAACTGTATATGTATTAGACTATCAAAGCCCTGCTTGTGGTTTAGAATCACCTGGGTGATTAAGTGTCATGCTGCAGAGCTGGTGGTTGGGTCAAATGGCATAGCATCTACTTAGCAGGTGTGAGGTACTGAGTTCAAACCCCAGTATGAAAAAAAGCCCTAAAATTAAACAAAATAAACCAATCAACCACACAAACAAAACTAAAATCACCCTACAGACTTGGATTAAACTATTCTAGGAGTGAATCAGAGCCAGTTGAGGCTTAGAAAGCAAAACCTAGAGCATATGGCTACAATGATGCTATTAAGTGTCAGGAGAGGCAT